GTTTTGGCAGCTGAGTTATTTCGTGGGGGAGAAAGAAATATTGGCCTAGGGTTTCACACCCGAGGCCTAGGTTTCACACCCAAATTAAGCCAACCCAATTTTCATTTCAATTTTCAATTCATTCAATGATTTTTCATTCTGATTATAGCAATCCTTTTAAAAGAAAAAAATTACAAATTTGGAAATCTCACAGAATCCATCAAATCTCTCACTGATTAACTACTAAATTAAACAACAATTCAAAATTTAAAAATTCAAATTTTAAAAATTAAAACTAAGCTAATATGGAAGATTTTCAATTCTTGTTCTCATCATTCTCCCCAGGTGGGAGAAAACTCGACTCTGTCGAGTTAGCTGCAGAAACCTATCATCTTCAATATACTGTCTGCATCTTAATCTTCCATCAGATACTTCCCTGCATCTCAAATTATTAGTTAGATTGCATTGTAAATTCACCATATAAAATATTATCAAAATTCACTGCTGCATGGGTGAGTATATATAGAAGTGGGGGTAAAGTGAAAGAACTCTCATAAATAATGGGCTAGAATCAGGTTTATATTAGTGGACTGCTAATAACATTATGACTGTTCAATCAATCAATATTGAGAATAGAACTATGACCAAATCGATAATATAAATGTTGCTATTAATTAGTTCAAATTGAGAATAGAACTATGACCAAATCGATAATATAAATGTTGCTATTAATTAGTTCAAGAGTTGGAAAAGCTCATAAATATCATGTCAAATCTTAAACAAATATAAATGTTGCTATTAATTAGTTCAAGAGTTGGAAAAGCTCATAAATATCATGTCAAATCTTAAACAACTATAAATAAACTGTGTTGGACAAGTCCAAACCATCTCAATTATCATCATTAACAGTTTTAAATTATGTCCCGACTCAAATTCATACATTTCAGTTAGCATTGTATTTATTCAAATTAGATCACTGATTCCCCAATATATGATCAATGCAAAATAAAAAAAAATGATGTAAATTAACTCAAATGATTATGATGAAATGCAGACTCAAACAATGTGATCAATGGCAGATGTAACTCAACAAAGTGTCTAAAATGCATGACGTCCTCTATCAAATGGAATAATTAGGTGTTTCTTCGTTAATATGCATAACAAATTTCCAATTTTTGCAGTGATAAGGAGGAACGTGCAAACACATGCATGACGGATGAGTGTTTTTTACGTGTTTAACATGAGAGAGAATGAAAACACTCGTGCTCAAACTCATATCCCTAATCACTATATATTCCGAAAATGGATCATTATTTGTGTGAGTGATTGTCGAGACAATGCATAGGGATTTGACATCTGATATGGTAGCTATTTTACTATGCTCAATTTGGGATTCAAGTTTCATACAGATATCTAAGTGACTCACTTTTGGAACCGACTCAGGAACATATTGGGTGTCATGTTGGTCCAAGAGGACTTCGTGGGGAATATCAACAACGTTTTCAGTCAAAGAAGTGAAATCAAGAGGAGTTGGAGTTTCAATTTCAGGAACAGCTTCAGGGACAACATCAGTGAACTCCGTGATCAAAGGAGTATCTTGGGGAATAATCGGAGTGTTGTCATTGCATGAAACTTCAGTTAACTCCACAATTGCAGGGGTAGTTTCAGAAGGAACGGAAGCGCATGATTCTTCGATTATACTATCCTGAATTTTCTTGTCAGAATTAGATTTTGTCAAATCTACGGCCTGGTTAACGGTTTCCTCAATAATAGATTTTGATTTTGTTATAGGCGGATTCTAACTCTGAACAGAGTTGTACAGACGAAAGCAACGTGCCCATATCCTTGATAATTGCAACACTGCATTATTGGGCTAAGTTTGGAGAGAGATCTCTCTGACTTCTGGCCCTTGGGATCGACTCTAGACTGGGAAGAACTAGGGTTAGATCGACTCAGAGGCTGACTAGAGGTATTGGCACAGGAAGACTGAGAGGAATGAGTTCAAAAATCCTGAGCCCTATGAGATTGATGGAATTTGGCTTCATCTAAATCTTGAACTAAGACGTAAGCTCTCTCAAGGGTGTTTACTCCTCTAGCAAAAAGTTCGGTTTGGAGGTCACTTCTCAATCCAGCTCTAAACTTTGACAAGACTTTCATTGGTGCCTCTTGCTCTATGATGTTGCATCGAGTAAACAATTAATCAAATTGAGCAACGTACTCTTTGCAGATTTGGTTCCCTGAGTAAGACAATACCACTTATCTAGCAATCTATAAATAAACGATGGCGGGAGATATTTCTGTTTCGGTTCGTCGATCATTTCTTACCAAGTAAAAATTGGTAACTCACTTCTAATATGCCTTATCATTTCGAAGTTGGACCAATATTGACAGGCGGGTCCAGTGAGCTTCATTGTGGCAAACTTGACTTTCTGGGATTCCGTCAGGGCGTACTAATCGAAGTAGCAATCCATGCTCTTCAGCCAGTCAAAGAAAGTTTGTGGGTCGAGCTTACCATCAAAGATTGGTGGATCAGGCACAAGTTGAGGTGGGGGTCGATGAACGATGTACCCATGACCTTGTGGTGGGTATCCATAGCCTTGACCTCGTGGCGGAGTTGTAACCCGCGTTTCTTCTAACCTAGCACGTCTCTCGTTGGTGTTATTCAGGGTCTCGCGGGTAGCTCTGCTCTCATGGGTTAAGTTACTTATTTGTCCGTTTAACTCAGCGATTTGCTTAAGTAGTTCGAAGAATTCGGGATTTGTACTGCCTGACATGCTTGACTCACTAGTTGACTCACTTGACTCTCATAATCGATAGGGTAGACCTGTGCGAGTAGGCATGCACTAACAACTAGATGAGATGAATGGTGTGCACAAACAGTTAAATGAGATAAATGAGATTTTTTTTAATATCAAATAAAAGACTCAACTAATCTAAAAAAATAAAAATAAAAATAAAAAAATTCCTACACTAGAACAATGCTCTGATACCAAAAATGATGCGAAATGAAGACAAGGGGTCTGTTGGAATCAGCGATTTAATTCGAACAACGCACCATTTCGCCAAAAAAATGATATTCGGTAGGAAAATAATTTAAAAACAACTAATGTGACTGATGGATTTTAATAAAATTTGCATAAGTAGTGATGAATAATTCCAATCCCGATCAATTTAATCGCAGTATTCATTATCATTGTACACGTTCTAAAATCAATATCAAATTTTCAACAATCACATGTTCAGATACTCACAGATTTAATTTAAGCAGTGAATATATGATAAGAATTTAGAGATGCAATACTCATGCAATTAACTAATAAATTGAAATCCACGGAAAAATATTGAGTTGAGAGAAACAAAACCTCAGTGGATTACTATTCAGAAATGTTGAGAGAAATCCAAAAGCCCATTAGCTTCTACAGTGAAGCCCACAACGCAACTTATCAACAAACCCATCAATATATTCTGATCTCTGTTCTTTGATCTCAGGGAAGGGAAACCGACGGCTGTTCGGTGCGGCTTCGATCTGAGGAGAGGTGGACCGTGGCTGCTCGAGGGCGAAGAACGATGGCGACTGTCGGCGGTTGAGGGAGAGCAGGGAGGAGGGGACCGCAGGGTTGGGGCGACGCTGGATGTCGACGGGCGCCGTGAGGAGGTGCCTGGGATGGCGGTGGCTGTTCGACGGCGGGCTGAGGGTGGCGTAACGACATCGTGGACGACGTGACGGCGCGGGCGAAGGGCAGGACGTCGTCGGTGAGGCTGTTCGGAGGTGACGGAGATCAGGGGGTCGTCGGGACTGTTGGAAGGTGGAGGGGAGTAGGGGTGTTGGCGAGTGGAGGCTGCTCGTTGTTGAAGGGGGGCAGGGAAGTCGGGACGATGACGGCTTGAAGTGGGGCTTGCGGCCTGTAGAGAGAGTGATGACGGGGAGATGGGGTGGTGGCTGATCGGAACGATGGAGGAGAGGAGAGCATAGGGGCTCGGATCAGGCGGTGGCTAGTTGGTGGTTGTTGAGAGAGCGGGAAAGAGATGAGGAATCGGGCTTGGGAGTTTGTACGTGAGTGGACGGAGAAGAAGCCGGTTCGTGATGGATGCAGGGGGGAAGATGGGTTCAACGTGGAGAAGAAAGATGAACAGGAGGATTGAGTTTTGGCGGCTAAGTTGTTTCGTGGGGGAGAAAGAAATATTGGCCTAGGGTTTCACACCCGAGGCCTAGGTTTCACACCCAAATTAAGCCAACCCAATTTTCATTTCAATTTTCAATTCATTCAATGATTTTTCATTCTGTTTACAACAATCCTTTTAAAAGAAAAAAATTACAAATTTGGAAATCTCACAGAATCCCTCAAATCTCTCACTGATTAACTACTAAATTAAACAACAATTCAAATTTTAAAAATTCAAATTTTAAAAATTAAAACTAAGCTAATATGGAAGATTGTCAATTCTTGTTCTCATCAAAAACTCTTAACATTTCTGTTAACAGAGCATTTTCATGATCCTTGCAACTTCCAATAATTTCTCATGATATATGATTATAGTTAGTTTGCAACTCCATGGGAGCATGAGGATCAGTTAGAGTTGCATACAAAGATTTTACTATCAGATTTCTTCTGAACGAATGGTCACTATTATAAACTTGCTTGCGTTTTCGTTCCCTTCTGGGTGGCTCAATCCAATTCTCACTAACAATTTTCTTAAAGTCCACCTTGTTTTCATCATTTTGTACAAGTCAGAAATAATTAGTCAAGCAATAACTATCTAAAATATATGACATTAGTCAAGAGTTAATGTATTCATAATAACATAGAAGATCATAAAATGCTTACTCTTTTGCTCGGCCAATCTGCCTTGTTGAATAACTAAAGCATCAAAAGCAAGCTTCTTATATGCCCTGTCAATAACTTTTTCCTCAATGGTGTACTGCGGTATCAAGGGGAAAATGACAGTAACTTACAAGAGATTTCACATTAACATAAGAAGAGTCAGTAAACTTCATTTAGTAAAGCTAAACCTCAGTGCAAAACCGGAACACTTAACTTCTTTCTTTTGATCAATTCTATGTAAATAATCTTGGGCTTGCGGATCAACTTGCGGATTCCTGAGCTTAATAACAATAGGACATCATATTGAGAACTGTGCTAAATAGTAAAACGACCAAAAAAAATACAGAAAAACATGTCTACCAATCACTATCATAAAGAATAACCACATCGGCAGTGGCAAGGTTAATCCCCAGCCCCCCTGCTCTTGTTGAAAGCAAGAAAATGAATTTTTCACTTCCTGGTTGATTGAAGGCTTCAATCGAAGCATCACGATCTTCCCCACCCGTATTCCCATCAATACGGCCATACTTATATCCACAAAATATGTTATTGAAAAAAATATGCAGCTGAAAGAACAATTAGCCTCACAATTTACCAACTCCTTAACAGGCCTTAACCAAAACTAGTATAGGACCCTATATAATTTTTAGGCAAAGGAAACCATAAAATGATATTGAAAGATATGCAATGGATCCTTAACAAGCCTTAAGCGAACCAATTAACTAACCTATATTTTAAGCATGTATCATGACTTACCATCTCATCAACTAGAATGCCATTGATGTCATTTTCATTTAATCGTATTAACCAATTTAATCCAGCAAGTTGATAGTCTCTCATCTTCCCCTGTAGACCTGCAATGAAAGTGTAACATTATCAAGGGGGAATTTCTTTATTTCTCAGCAAAAATAAGAGACCTCTTCTCTACTCATATGAACTGTTCAGATTTTTTTTAGTTATGGAAAAATTCAAAGAAACCTTAATTGAACAGTTGTCACCAGTTAGTAGGCATTAAGTAAAATTAATATTCAAAAACTTGGGATAAGAGAATGCAAGTCAAGACTGCATTTGCCCCAAACATATGAACCTAACAAATTGCTAGATTTTGATTTTTGACATCAATTTTTCATCTGTTTTATGTTTGGATATGAAATTCAAAACTAGATAATTTGTCAGTTCAGGGGCAGTATTGACAACCAAAACACTCTCATAAAAAACCTGCACTGAGTGGCACCCGACCAGCCCACATATATTAACATTTGAACCGCATGGATAGGTGAAAAAAAATGTTCTTGCATACACAAATAAGTTGAACCAATCAGCTACTAGCATTACAGAGTAGCACTTGCAAGATGGTTGCAGAAGGACGAGTCCCTCCCGTACCAGCCAAACCATCTTCTTCCTCGAGATATTCTTCATCTTCTTCCTCAGTAAGTTTGGATGCATGGCGGCCCCTACGCAAGTGTAAAAAATACATACAAACATCACATGCAAACATCTACCCAGATTGTAACATGTAACTGTTACTATCAAAACAAATAAGCACCCAAAGAGAAACTAAAATGTCATTTTGCATATTCATCTACCAGTAATAAACCAAAAAAACATAGGCTCGGTGAGTAAAATACACTAGATTAGGAAGATATATCAAATAAATTCACATTGTAATTGTTAAAACTCAAACGTAACCATGCATATCAAAACCGTTAAGCAAACAAAAGGATAAGCATCTGTGGAGAACCATTTCACTTCTTGTAATCTGTATACATAAACATACTTACTTCCCTTTCAACTTCTTGACCACATCTCACTCATGTCCTATGTCTGGGTAACACTGATTTTACGAGATAGAAAGCAAAAGAAGCACTGTGACAGGCACTTCAAAAGGAAATTAATAAGTATCATGAGCTATCAATGACTAGATTGCATTGGCAGTACAGTTGTATACACTGCCGAAAATATTTAGATGAAAATTATATTTAAGACTAAATGTACCTTTTTGTCATGCAAGTCCTTATCAAGATCTAACAATCTTGTTTTAATTCTATTTGTGAGGCTGGCAGCCACGTCTTCGCTGAAAGGGGCATCAGGAAGAAACCCAAGGTTATGCTTACCAATAATCTTTTGTATCCTTGAATCACGTTCATGCCTCGAAGATATGTGAGCCTGAGATACATGCAATGTCAACTGCATATCATAAAAGGTAAATGTGAAACCAATGAAACATAGAAGTGGCACATTACATCAGCTTCTGCTTGAAGTTTCCCGATCTCTCGCATGGACTCATTAATTGTCTGTGAAAATGTGGAACTTCTGGTTTCTTCATCATTCATCTCTCTTTCCAGCTTACTAATTTTAGACTGTAGTAATGCGATCCTTTCTTCAAATTTGCTTTGCCATTCTTTTAACTTATCATCAGTATCTAAAAAAGATGAAAGAAGAGAAAAGCCATTGAAGAAGCCGACAAAAAATTTAACCTGCATACTACTAAAAAGATAAATGCATGTAAAGCAACATCTAGTAGTATTGCAGCCTATGGAGATGCAGAAGAATGAGAATCATTGCCCTATTATCAAACAATATCAGAGTAATCGAAAGAACAACTCATAAAACTGTTGGAAACCTCAAATGGACAGAATGAGAATAAACAACAAGGGAAATAAATATTCCGCACCTTTGTACAACAATCACATGTTTGTATATGTTCAATATGTAAAGGTCAGGTTTCTTAGCCGACCTTCATTTTCCTCAGCAAGGGCAGCATATTGTGTCTGTTGCAGCTTAAATAAAGTGCTTCTCGCAGTAGTACTCGTTGAAATCTGGTCTTAAGAGTTTCTGCAATTCCTTCAAAGTAATTCTGTATGTAAGATTTTGTCCTCTACACCTTGAATGTTCCTCTCCAGTTCCTTAATCTGTGCTTTTAGGGATTCACTTTTTTCCTGCTCCTGGGATATACTATCCCGGAGCTGGATAAACAAATTTAGTTCTATTTTAGCATATATTCAAATAATAAATGAACATAGAACAAGAAAACTAAGGTCATAGATATGAGAGAGTAAAAAGATATAAAAGAAATAACAGGTCAGAAAGGAATACAACCTTATGAGCCGCATCTTTCAGAGTTTGAAGATTCTCTAATTTCAACTTGTAAGTCTTTATCTCGTGTGATCCTTGTGAAGCTTTTTTATAACCTCTAGAGCTTTTGTACAACTACACAACACACAAAGATAAAGTGGGATCATATTGTATGAGATCAACATTCATGAACACAATAACAAAATAGCCGGCTTGAAATTCAAATGCATGGAATTTCTTTTATAAAAAAATATCAGAAAATCGTTCGCAAAGAAGAAAATTCAACATTGAACAGAATCGCTAAAAGACTCACAAAATTATACTAGTCAATATGAACTTGTAGAAATAAATCCAAGTCAAAACACAAATAAACAGGACTAATTTCCCAAACAATAATTTTGGAAACCCTCATTATAAATAAAGCATGTCGGTAGAAAAATGCTCTACCAAGACAAAAAAAATTTCAAGATATTCCATTTAACCTTGAACTCTTACTTTCCAACGCGTAACAATAAATTTTCACAAAGATTATCTGATATATAAAAGCACCCACGTCAAAATTTTGAACATTTATTCTTCATTGTTAAGGGAAAGAACACAAATGGGTCATAAATCCAAATAAATTCAAGTACCATCATAAGGGGAAGGGGGCCTCATTGATTTGGGTTATTGGGTCTGTTCTCTCTCTACCATGGACTCCAGCTGCTGGTCCATCTTATTCACCTCGAATCTCGACACCGTGGCTTCAGCGGAGGAGCTCAAGGCTTCGACCGCTTTGGTTTCGGCTTCGGCGACCATTGCGAACTTGGCGGAGACGATGGCGCCCTCGAGGGCGAGGGGGATGGAGAGGCTGTCGGTGCCACACACAACGTCACAGACGGAGATGCCGGCGAGGGGCCCATCATCCTTGAGCATCTCTATGGTTTTCTCGACGGTTTTGGGGTGGCCGAGGCGGATGTCGAGCTGGACCTTGTTGATGCCGTCGGTGGATTCGTCGTAGATTCTTGCGCCAGCGTTGGAAGCCAGTGTTGTTGAAGTAGTTGCGAACAACCTCTTTGTCGTCGAGGCCGCCGAGCCCTTCGGATTGTTGCTGGCGGCGGCGGGCGGGGGCGTTGAAGTAGTTGCGAACAACCTCTTTGTCGTCGAGGCCGCCGAGCCCTTCGGATTGTTGCTGGCGGCGGCGGTCGGGGTCGGAGAGGGATTTCAGGGGATGGAGATGACGATGATGATGAAGACGAGAGGTGGATTTTTGGTAGATTGAAACGAGGGATTTGAGAGATTGGGGTTAAGGGCGCGGGGATTTTAGAGTTTAGGTGAAATTTTTGGGGGGAAGGGGAAATTTTTGGGGGGAAGCAGGTTTAGTTAAGGAAGAGAATGGAGAAATAGATATGTTTTATTTTAGAAAAGAAAAATAACCAAATCACCCAAACGGTTTAAACCGTTTGGGCTAAACATCCCAAACGGTTGTAACCGTTTGACGATTGTGTTTGGGATCTCCTAACAGCCCAAACGGTTGAAACCGTTTGGGTTTTGTTATCCCAAACGGTTTGCAACCGTTTGGGCTATTTTCACTTGTCCAAACGGTTCTAATAACCGTTTGGACTGTTCTGTTTTGTACTAGTGTATCTTATACATGTAGCTTAGTTTATTATAATTTGCGCTATACTTAGCATATTTAATTCTTATTTACTAATCATGACCTGAATGTATTTATAGTAAATTTTTACGTCACTACATGCTATATGTTTATAGCATTTAAAATTTTAAAATTATATACTTAACTTTTAAGGCTTACGCCTTATGCTTTGAAGCTTACACCTCGCTTTATAAAATGGTCTACCACTTTGCTCAGTGCTTCCGCTATTTTGAACATTGTGTTGAACATGATCAGACTATCTCAAATTCTTAATCAATTCTCTTTCATTTTATCCTTAATAGAAACAAATGTACTTATTTCTTACCTTATCGTTTAAGGTAAATCCACAAGTCTATCATATCATTCCTTTTCCTAAACACTTACTTTTTGCATATGTTCTTTTCGATTGTCATATATTTTGATCCATAAAGCATTGTACTTATAATTGACTATAGAATTGTCCTTGTGTTTATTTTTATTCCTAAGTTATTTGATTGCAGGAGCAAATCCCCAAGTAAAATATCTAGGATATTATATCAGAAGAAAAAAATCAGGTTCTGACGTATTATAGAAATTTTAGATTATGTAGCTCAACATAGCTCAAATGGAAAGAGCGACAATAATGATAAACAACAGAGCATTTCTTCCAAATCTTTTGGGTTGATTCATGAATTATATTCTTCGATTCTGTTCTGTTAAGGGTCATCTTCTTTATTAAATAAACCACTCATATTATTCTAATTTCATTCTAGCCAAGTTCTCTTAACCTACCTCCAGCCTCCTTGCTTAATTAAAATAAAGTATGTAAAAGGAAACCCATAACAGACGATCATATTAATGGTTGGATTGAGGGAGCATATCTTTGACACAACCTAAATTTTTGTCGACCTTCTTTGCATGTTCTTTTTTACTTATGTATCACAACACTTTACTTTGTAGGGAATAAATTATTTTCTATACTAGCTAATTTGTTTCTGATTTAAGAGAATATTCTGTATATTTTGGTGATGGACTAACACAAGCATATATCATACTTCATCGGTATATGATAAGAACCACTTGGAGATAGCACTTAATGCTACTGAAGGTATGCATTTATTGATTTGAAATTAAGGTTGATATTCTTTACGTTTTGCAGTTGCTTTGTATGTTGATTTAGAAGTTTTAACAGCCTCTCACATTTGTATTTTTCATTGGAATGGCATTTGATGCTAACAGCACATTGCAGATATTTCAGGTCACTGTCCTAGCTACTCCATGAACGATCTTGAACCATTACCTTATTTGATTTTGAAAATATATCTAAAAATATTTTGAACATGTTGAAGAAGAAGACAAGCATACCCTTTTGTTATTTGACCTTTAGTCACCTTTATATTTCTCTGCATCTTCGACCTTTTCGAGCTACATCTACTAATATTTTCCATATTAAATCCATGTTTACCATATTGTTTGATATGATAAATGAATGTGGACAAGTATTACATGCACTCTATCTTATGCATTAAGTGGCATGTTCAATTGCATAGAAAATCAGTACTCCACCATATTGTATGTACCCAAATTAAATAAAGCTGATGTACCAAATTATGAGTCTAGGTAGGGGACCAAGACTAATGATTTTAGTAAAATATGTTCACATTGTTATCCATTTATTCACATTGTTATCCATTTAATCATATGATGACTGTCGTTTTGCTGTGAGGAGATAAGTTAAATCTTATAAACAAGGAACGATGAGTAACTTGGTGCCATTTTATTCCATCTCCGTCCTGAATAAATTGTTAAGTTTTAGTTGATTTTACCTGGGTAGAAAAATTCCGAATTAACCGGCTCTTTGATAATCTTTAAATTCTCTCAGGTAGATGGAAATTACATGGGTGCTGTCAAGTTAGTAATCGAATTCAAGGAGTGTGGACTGAACCCTGATGCTTACGGCTAACTTATTGCGTTAACTGTATTAGCCGAAGAGCAGAAAGAGTTCTCAAAAGCTTTGCACAAGTTAAAGGCATCAATGAAGTCAGGCTCTATTGCTGTACTCGATGATGAGAATACAAATCATATCGAGAAATATCAATCCGATATCATAAACTATGGAGTACGATTATCAAATTGCGCAGTCCAATAAGGAAGCTCTGTAACTGCCGGTATAGTTCATGAGAAGCTCCTCGCAATTTACACTTGTGCTGGATTAGGGCTGGAAGCTAAGAACGAGCTATGGCAAATGAAGCTATCAGGCAAAGAGCCTGACAAAGAACTCTGTGATGTTGTTCTAGCCATTTGTGCGTCTCAAAAAGAAGTTAGTGCTGTTAACAGATTGCTTGCCATAACTAAGATTATGGGTTCTGGCCGAAGGAAGAAGACTCATGGTTACTTCAAGGGTATGTTAAAGGAGGGAATTATTTGGATGCTTCAGATACTCTCATGAAAATGCTTGACCTCGATTTGTGTCCTGAGTATTTGGATGGAATTTCTGTGTTGCAAGGATTGGGTAAGAGCATAAAGGAATCTGGTAGTATTGAGCTCTAGATGAAGCTTTGTAGGAGGCTGTCTGATGTGAAACTGATTGGAACCTGTCTTGTGTATTTGTATGTACATAGATACAAGCTGTGGGTGGTGAACACGCGCTGAAGGCGAAGTTGTTGGGTACGGAGTACTGTATATATAAGTCGGAGAAAATATTATACAGGTGTATAGTTTCATATGTTTGTTATGTAATACATAGTGATGTCTGAAAGCCTTTTTTTTAACGATATCTGAGGAACTTGGAGTATTGATTGATTCTGGATGAGGTTTCTTTATAATTGTTGGATTACCTATTGTGAATAAGATGAATGGTGATTTGATGATGTTGGTCTTTTTTTATGAGACAACATAAAATGTAAAGCAGACTTTGAGAGTGCATCCAGTGTTGCTTATGAAAATTGTGGTCTCAAATTCAAAAGTAATGTTTAGCTTATGAAAATTGTGGTCTCAAATTCAAAAGTAATGTTTATTTAGCAAATTATTTGCTTTTGGTTATTAACATTATCAACTTCGAGCTTTCATCAAAATCAAAAGGCAAATAATATTATTGACGAGAGGATCCAAATCCTATAATGCCAACATCTAGTATTTATAAAAATTGTCGAAGTAACATTTTAGAGCTCAAAAATCACAGCTATGTCTACATTCTTTTGAAGGAAAGTATACTCATTCCAAATATCAACGATTTAAACAGTGCCAAATGATTGGGGTTTGAAAGTGGCCAACGCACTTATTTTAAGTGTACTGCATTATGAACAATAATTCTCAGATTTGAACACAATAGACACATTGTAGTGAGCTACAAGCCATCTTATTTATTTCTTCATATCCAATCTAAGCTTCAGCAACTATATTTAGAAAACATGAAAAGCTTAAAGATCAAAATAGGGGCATTTATATTTAAAAAACATGAAAAGCTGAGAGATCAAAAAAGGGTTCAAGAATAGCTAGATGTTGGTAGTATTTTTCCTTTTCCAAAATTTCAGTTGCACATTGCGAAGCACAACGGTCACTGCAAACCCCACTCCAAATCCCAGGCCAACTAATAGCGCAAGTACAATGATATAGGTTGACGATGATGAATGGTCAGAGGCAATAGGTTGCACTGCACTTGTCTGATTTGGGCTTCCGTTGTTGCATTGCTTTGATAAAGGACTTCCACACAGTCCATCGTTATCCAGGTAAGAAGCGTTCGAAAATGTATTGAACTGTTTACTTTGAGGAATTCTTCCTGTTATATTGTTGCTAGACAGGTTTAAAGAAGTTAAGAATGTGAGAGAAGTCAATTCTTGAGGAATCTGTCCAGACAAATGGTTTGCAGAAAGATCCAATCTTAAAAGTTGCCTCATGTTTCCAATTACTGAAGGAATCTCTCCTGTGAGAGAATTTTGTGATAAATTCAACATGCGAAGGCCTCGGAGTTTACCAATCACCTCAGGAATATTACCATCAAAGTTGTTATTTGAGAAATCCACAAGCGTATATGATATCGCTAATATTCTCTGAAAGGAATATTCATACCCGTTAGTTATGACTGAAACTTTATAGTCATAAATATCTCCATATATTCCATCATCACCTTGATTCATAGTGGAGAAATTCATCATGGACTTTACATTGTTGAAACAATTTGAAGGCAAATTTCCATTGAAGTGATTGGAAGATAGATCAAATATCTGCAATTTTAAAAATGTGTTATTTGCCTCAGGACTTTCTGTGACTTTGACTTGCCCACGAAGTGCATTTCCTCGAAGAACTAGGACAGAGATGTTAACCATTTGTCCCAACCAAGATGGAAAACCTCCAACAATCTGATTGCTCCCAAGGTCTAAAACCTTTAGCGACCCACAATTGAGCAAAGTTTGAGAAATTGAACCTTTCAAACGATTGTCACTGAGGATCAATGACTCCAGCATGCAGTCTTTACTAAAATGTTTAGGAATTTCCCCTTGAAGTTGGTTCCCTTTTAGATTCAAGTCAGTAAGAGATTTGATATCGAATAGACACGAAGGGATTGAACCACTCAAACTATTTCCAGACAAGTCGAGGACTTGGAGATCGTGTGCTTCACAGATGGATGCTGGGATTTCTCCAGTAAGATTATTGTTCCTGAGAAGAAGATGAGTGCAGTTTAAAAGATAGGAGGAAATGTTAGACGGGATAACTGATGAGATGCCATTGTTTGAGTAATCTATGAATTGGGACGACGTCGAGGGAAGAAAAATTGGTCCCTGAAGTGAGTTTGAATGGAGATCAAGAACACCCTGGGTATCACCTTGTTTCCAAGAGAGAATATGTGGGCCTTCGAAATGAGTGAATTCATTCATGGAGAGATTCAAATAAGATCCCCTGTCTAATCCCCAAATCCATTCCGGTATTCCGCCGCCAATCTTGTTATCAGAAAGGTCCAATCTGTCGAGTTCATGTTGATGTCTTAGAAAGGAAGGCACTTTGATCAGGTTGCATGAAGCCAAGGATAAAATAAAAAGGCTGGGAAAGGTGTCAGAATAATTAACGCCACTATCTTCTTGTACAGATAATCTATTGTTCCGAGAGAGGTCGAGCTCTGTTAAGTTCGGGAGGTTTCTTATCATGCCGAGCTCCACCGTTCCATTAAAGTTGTTTGATGATAGGCGGAGTGACTCGAGGGCTGAGAGCTTAAATAAGGATATTGGAATCTGTCCTTGAAGTTGATTATAACTCAGATCAAGATCACCTAAGGACATTGAAGGATTTGAGAACTCTTTTAACTCACCATAGAATTGGTTATTCCTGGGTTGCAATTCCTCTAAAGCAGGGAGAGTAAACAATGAGACTGGCACCGATCCAGAAAGGAAGTTGTGACTTAGATCTAAGAATGTGAGATGAGTCAGATTTCCGATAGAAGTGGGGATCGGACCCGTGAAATTGTTCTCCGAGAGGTCTAAATATGTGAGCTGGGTAAGATTCCCGATGGAAGATGGTATCATCCCGGTCAGACCGAATTCATAGAAACCCAGAGTAGTCAGGTGCTTGAGATTAGAAATAGAGTCTGGTATGTTCCCGGATAAATTCATCCCAAAAAAGCTCAAACTTTGCAACGCATTGTTGCTTGGAAAATCCGGCAGATTCCCAGAAAGCATCGGATTCATTGTTAGGTCGAGAAGAGTCAGGTTGGCGTGTGATGTCAAGATGTCTGTCGGCAACAATCCTGCGACTCCAAATATATATACTATATAATAAATAAGGAAATAATGCTTGAATATAAAACTGATTAGATAAAGAAGTACAGCTTTACCTGGGAGATTACAGTCGCTCAAACCGAGCACTTGAAGGTGAGGCATCGAGGTGGACAAAGCACTTCCCCAGTCTAGGTTCGAGGACATGTCGACGCCGTCGAGACGGAGATCCCTCAGATTGCTAAGGTTTCCAACTAGAGTCCGGAAACTTGGATGGCAGAGTTGTGAGTAATTGCTGAGGTAGTATCCTTCCATGTAGAGGCCGTCAGGTGAGTAGATGACCATTGCAACGCTGAGGTCGAGGGAGATGAGGTTGGTTAAGAGAGAGATGCCGACAGGAATCTGACCACTGAATCCGGCTAATGAGAGATCGAGACGGGTGAGTTGTGTAAGGTTCTCAAACCCCACCTGAGGAAAGTCTCCTTGAAAGAAATTGCCGGAGAGGTCGAGAGTTCGGAGGGAGGTGAGATTGAAGAGGCTAGCACTGAGTTTACCATTGATACCACGTTGACTGAGGTCGAGGCCGCTGACGTGGCCAGATTTGGGGTCGCAAGTGACTCCCTCCCAGCCGCAGCAGTTGGAGCCAGGTTTCCATGAAACCGGGGGGCCGCGAGCTTTGGGATAATCATGTATTTCAATGCCCATGCCGAAGGAGACACCGTGTATTATGTCGAGGAGGGAAGACCTGTCGGATGGGAGGCAGTCGACGGTGGTATTGGTATGACGAGCAGCAGCGCATGCGGACGGGATCAGCAGCAGCGACACTATTAGAAATAGTATACAATGGACAAGTAGCCGATCAAGTATTGCAGTGCCCATGCTGACTAGTTAATTAATACTCTGATACCCAAAGGTGAATGAGCAGTTAACGGATATATATAAGTAGGGGGAGATCGAAGATGAAGACGGAAGATGGAAGGAGCAGGCTGGAGCGGTCTTCCTGGCTTGGCTTGGCTTGGCTTGGTGAATGGGATCGAGATTGGTAGCTATAGCGATCTGGTGGGAAGCAGAGGAAATTAAGAAGGCCCCCCAGAAAAGAGGGGGTTGGAGACCCCGGAACGATGTACGAAAGAGACAGCGTGGAAAATGGGCAGATAGAGTGCTGCTTCTTATGAAAAAGCCCTCGATCGATGCTGTACGTGTGAAAGAGCGGCGGGGAATGTCTGGGCTCAGGAGTGGAAAAGACTTCTAGTGTGGAAAATGTGGGACGACTGTGTGGAGAAGAACTTGAAAAAGCTGATTTTTGGGCATAAGTCGACTCATGCACAGAGGGCAAGTCGACTTATGCTAAGTCGACTGTAAGTCGACTTATGGCAAGTCGACTTATCAGGTTTTATAAGTCGACGATCTGTTCTCCAGTTGTTGTTTTTCGCTCTGCCAAGTCGACTTATGCAGACTGATAAGTCGACTTATGACGGGTTTTTTGGAAAGTTCAGGTTCCTATTTGCAGTCTGTTTGGGTTTCTGTTTTGGTATAAATACCAATACGATTTGAGGGTTTTGTAGGAGCAAATCTGGGGATTTTGGAGCACAGAAAAGAGAGATCTTTCTGAGCTATTTGTTAGGGTTATTGGTTGAGAGATTGAGAGATTTGTTGGTGAGATTAGTTGGTTCGTTTGAGCGATTTGTAATCTCAATTTGTACTCTCCTTCTCTATTAGTGAAAACCCTCCCCCTTCTTGCCCCGTGGACGTAGGCAATTGCCGAACCACGTTAAAATTGGTGTTTGGTTTGTGCATTGATATTGGTTTGCTTTTGGCCTTCTTTCTTCGGCGTTTGTTTTGGTTCCTCGGCGCCGCCGTCGGCACAACGAGTGGTATCAGAGCATATCGCTGTCGTTGGGCACTACAAGTGGTATCAGAGCTCGGGCAACGCTTGGGCTATTTGGAGGAGTGGATCGCTTTGGAAGTTCGTTTAGGGCTTCGTTTGGTGATAAAGGTGGGATCTTTTTGGTAAAAATCTCGTCTTTTTCAGTTTGGATCTATTTCTCGTTTGTTTCCGCATTGGTTTGGTGGTGCTTTGAGGATTATGGCCGAGAAAGAAGGAGTTGTGGGCAGTACTTCCGGCGTGAAGACCGTCCAAAGCTTGAATATCCACTCAATGAAGATTGATGTGGAAAAGTTCAATGGCACAAACAATTTTGGACTTTGGCGATGCGAAGTCATGGATGCGCTCAACGCGCAAAATTTGGAAGATACGTTGGAGTTGGACGGGAAACCGGACAACATTGATGAGAAGGTTTGGAAAAAGATGAATCGAACGGCGTGTGGTGTGATTAGGTCTTGTCTCACTCAAGATCTAAAGTATGATGTGATCAATGAGACTTCTGCTAAGAAGATTTGGGAGATCCTTGAGAGCAAGTATTTGACCAAGAGTGTGGAGAATCGCTTGCATTTGAAGAGGAGGCTTTACCGCTTCCAGTTGAAGAAAGGAACCTCCATTGGTGATCACATGAACCACTACACGAAGCTTCTTGCGGATTTGGCGAATGTAGACGTGGTGATTGAAGATGAGGACAAGGCGTTGTTGTTGTTGAGTTCCTTGCCCGACGAGGAATATGAGACCTTCGTTCTTACTCTTATTAATGGGAAGGCATCTCTTTCGTATAGTGAGGTCACCGCTGCACTTGTGAATTATCAGCTTCGAAAGAAGGATAAGGAGACTTCGTTTGAGCCGGTAGCGGGGGCGTTGGTCGCAAGAGCAAAGGGTCCAAACCGTAGTGGGAGGTCGCAGTCTAGAGGGGCACATCTTGGAGTTCGTAAGAATCAATGTGCCTTTTGCAAAGAAGATGGACATTGGAAAGCCGATTGCCCAAAGTTAGTTGATCGAGCCGGGAAGAATAAGGGAAAAGCTATTCAAGCTTCAGAGGCGAATGTTGTCAAGGCTAGTGGCAACGATTCAGATTCGGATTCTTCGGGCTACTCGTTATCTGCACTGCCGTCAGTTTGTGTTGCCTACTCTACAGAGTGGATATTGGATTCGGGTGCTACATACCACATTTGCCCTAGGAGGGATTGGTTCTCCAGCTTTCAGGAGTTGGAAAGAGGGGATTTCGTGCTCATGGGGAATGATCACAAATGCTCTATTGGTGGTATTGGTACTGTTCGGATCAGGATGAGTGACGGGGTGATTCGGGAGTTGGTTGGAGTGAGGTTCGTTCCTCAGTTGAGGAAGAACATCATTTCACTTGGAGCTTTGGAGGCAGTAGGCTATAGGGTGATCTTGGCGGATGCACGCTTGAAGGTTACATTTGGGTCCATGATTGTGATGAAGGGCGTCAGAAGAAGAAATTTGTATTATTTGCACGGAAGCACGGTGATTGATAGGGAAATGACGACTTCATCAGATTCGGCTAGACTGTGGCATTGTTTGGTGCTGGGGTATATGATTGGTAATGCCGTGCATTGGTTGTTGAGGAGTGCTTTGACCTGCAGTTTGAAGTCCTGTGAACCCATTGGGATGAGCAAGAAGACCGAGGTGGAGTTTGGCACTTCTATCCATCATTCGAGGGGTCTTTTAGGAGGGGTTCAGTCAGGCATTTGGGGGCCTTCCAAGGAGGCATCATTGGGAGGTAATCGTATCTTAGTTTCCGCAGTTGGTGATTGTTCTAGGCATTATTGGGTCACGACCAGTTTCCGTTGGTGTAAAGTCCTAGAAGTCAACAATAATTGGAAGAAGTGTATTGGCAGAAAGGTAACTCGTTGTTCTAGATTTAGTAGGAGTCCTTTCTTGCATTTGTGCCGAGCTCACGGCAATAGGAGACACTTCATTGGTGTGGAGACTTTGGGGCGACGAGATGAGATGACAGTTTCGATGGGTCGTTCCTTTCTGGAGGAGGATCGGCGTTGGCTGTCGAGCATTGGTTCTGGTGCTTCGACATATTTGGGTCATCTTAGTCATAGGTCGCCGACTGCTGCATTAGGAGTTATTGGATCTGGTGGAGCTGCTTCAGATTTTGGGTTCGCGTCGGATATTTGGATACCCAGTATTTGGTCACATCGAGGATGTGAGATTTGATCCGATTGCGCGTTTGGGGTTCGGAGGCTCAGTTGATTATCGTTTGGGAGCTTCTGATTTTGTTCTGAGCAGGTATGTCACTTTTGACTCTCGGCAGGGGGGGGGTTCGGAGGCTCAGTTGATTATCGTTTGGGAGCTTCTGATTTTGTTCTGAGCAGGTATGTCACTTTTGACTCTCGGCAGGTGGAGAGTGTTGATCAGATCGTTTGGATATCGCAGCAGGTGGAGAGTGATGCTACTCCACGTTGGGTGGAGATTACTCCACGTACTTCAGATCATACTGCGTCATTTGGGATTCCAGCTGAAGTGACACAGGTTGGGAATCATTTGATTTCGGATGCAGATGATAGATTGGTTTTGGACTCGGTTGTAGCTGGCGGACATGATTTGGATACGGCCATTGGTTTACCTCAGATGGAGGTGTTTGATTTGTATCAGTTTGGGACCGCTATCAGTTGCAGATCCGTCGGTGATATTGGGGAAGAGTTGCAGACTTTTCTATTTGTTTGAGGGCCTTTGGAGGTCGTTTGGTGAACTACGTGAAGGCTTGATTCCTTGGGCAAGAGGATACGTAGGCAGTCTTTATGATGCAGCCGATTTGGTGAGGAGGATACGTAGGCAGTCAGTTTTGATGCAGCCGATTTGGTGAGTAGATACCGACATTTGGGTGAGTGTTTGCACTTCCGTTTGGGTCTCAACTTGTGTGGATGGAATCCGTTGTCATGAGTTCGTTGTCGTGGCGTACTGGATGCAACAAGTGAGGCATTTGTTTTGGTTGGTGTCGGTTCAGTTTTGGTAGAAACTTCGTCGAGATGGAGAATTGAAGAAACCGCAAACGATTTGGTGAAGAACAGGTTTTGAAGACTACAGGAGTCACATTTGGAGCTTCACGGTCGACCGCGACGCAAGGCTGGTCGACCGCGAACGTGCACAGACTCTGGGAGGAGTCTGGCTTTGGCACGGTCGACCGCCGCGGTCGTCGGCGTTTGTTTTGGTTCCTCGGCGCCGCCGTCGGCACAACGAGTGGTATCAGAGCATATCGCTGTCGTTGGGCACTACAGACTGGGCTCAGGCGTGGAAAATGTGGGACGACGACGACGAAGACTTGGAAAATGCCCTCGATGCTGTACGTGTGAAAGAGCGGCGGGGAATGACTGGGCTCAGGAGTAAAGTCTAACATAGTGTGGAAAATGGGGTCGACCTTCTAGTGCCTTTTATTTATTTTTTTATTTTTTATTTTTGGGGGGGTGGGGAAGACCTTCGAAGTGGACAACAGAGCCCTTGATGCTGTGTGAAAGAGCGGACGACGACGACTAAGACTTGGAAAATGGGGTCGACCTTCTAGTGCGGAAAATGGGGTCGAACATAGTGTGGAAAATGGGGTCGACCTTCTAGTGCCTTTTATTTTTTATTATTATTATTTTTGGGGTGGTGGGGGCCTCCAAGTCAATAGTCCAACTATATTATATAAATTGAGTGGCTAAGATTAAGTTAATGATATGGTTAGTTGAAGGATACCTAATAAAATGTTTGTTTTTCTGATATAATTTAATGGACACGCTAACGTGTTGGAAACGTTTGCAAGAGACAGCGTGGAGAAGACTTCCACGGACGACGACGACGATGAAGACGAAGACTTGGAATTGAAGGCTTTAATTTCATTGGTTGTACGTACAATTCCTGTTCATTCGTTATGCGTGTTATAATAAAATTAATGAAAACTACAAGGGAAGATACTTAAACAAAAAACTATATACATTTGTGTCATATACACACAAAAGCCATGATCAGCCAATCTTTACTC